CAATATAATCTTTTATTAATACCTTATTGTAAAACAATAATTTGGTTTTTTAGGGGTGTATACTGCGACTTAAACACAAGACCTTGTACTTGCGAGGCAGGTACTTGTGCCATAGAGCTGTATCCTTGGCCAATTGTGATACAGTAAATACTAAATACTATGGGAGGAGGAAATGTGATACAGCACACCAACTTAAAACCTAAAGAATTTATCAATAAAATTATGGGGGGAAAAAAACCTAAAGAAGATCTGGCAATAGTATGATAGAGTGACAGTTTTAATCTCCAAAATCTTTTTACAGAAAAGTAGAAAATCCCCTACAATAATATAACAACAAAAAAAGAGACAGCATGTACAACACCCAAACTACACTTTAATGTGTCCCTGTTGGTGTGCTGCAATACTGACTGATGCCAAACTCCAAAAGTTAGTGTCATACCGCACAACTTTGAGCATAGACCTTTATAAGATTTGATTTCAAATACTAGGTTATAAGCTCAGAGGTCCCATTATACTTCTGACCAGCTTAGTACAAATTCAGATCTATAGCTAACAGCTCAGAAGAATACTGTATTTAAAGTTATAATTGTATTATAAAAGAGACAAATCAAAACTAGCCAAATGAAGTGTAGAACTACTTTTAGAGTGTTCTAAACATAGTTTTTGTATGTTTTTTAATGTGGAATCAAGATGTGTCATTCTCTTGACATCGCTGTGAGCCCTGCAATCTGGAAACCATGCTTCACTGCTGGAATTTTATTGAGGTTTTGTTACATGGACATGATTGATAGAATCATTTATTATGTGATTAAACTTAGTCTCTCACCCTAACGACATTTGAAAGTTGTGATGATGTCATATGATTAACAAACTCAATCCTTGAATCACAGGGTTTTTCTGGAATTGCCTGCCACAACTCCTTCCAGAGTCGTCATCGTAGTATAAACTCAGGGAAGAACAAAAGAGCTTCAACTGTGTTTGATCTAAGGTGCTCACAAATAGCAAAGACACTCAGTTTTGATGGCTTACAGGAACCAGTGACAAAAGCTAGTCAAATTCATCATTATACAGTAGCTCTTAGCTGAAGTGCAAGTGAGAGCTGAATTAGCTGCACCATCAAGACTACCCCAGTATTAGCAAGGGAGTAAGTACTCAGAGAGCTCAGAAATCAGGTTGTCAACAAGTATTCATCTCTAAAGAGAGGTGGTGGTTCTAGTAGGTGTAGAAAACTCAGCAGTCCATTATGAAAGCAGCTAAACCTGGAAAGTAGCATGGGAATGAGAACAGTCAAGATTAAAAGCTGCGTTCTTTTTTTTTTCAAAGTTTTATTGATAAATAGATAGCAATGAGACAGTTTCAAATCAAATCGAAAGTACAGTTTCAACAAATAATACACTGCATATATTCTTAGTGGTTAATTGCTGTACAAGATGCAGACTTGTGATCCTATTTACAAACACCATTAGAACAAATCATTCTATTCATTAAGAGAATGCAACTATATATCTATCCCAACCACTTTGAATACACAGATACAAAATGGATATTCATAGTTATACCCCATTTTTTTAAGTTCCATTATTAAATATTATAGGTGTGTAAACTCAGCAAAATATTCTAAAAGAGTCCAGTAGCCCATAATAGCATTGGGTCTTCTGTTTAACTGGCACTGTCAGAAATTATTGACCTGAGTCCCCCACAGCTCAACTTAACAGCATGGCTTTACTTCCTATATTTCGTCTTCATACTTTTCTACTGGATGGTTAAGACCAAGGTAAAGCAGGACCTATGCAAGAAGAGTTGTAGCTTTTTGGTCTGAGAAGGTCAGTGAAATGCCCTCAGGATTTATCCTGAGATCCTGTACCTCAGATTGTAGAACCTTTGTCAGTGCAAAAGCTGCATTCTTTTAGACAGATATTTTTTTCTCTTTCAGAAACCTCTGCCAACAAAAAAATTGTTTTTCTGTACAGTTACCTTGATTTTTCCCCCTTTGTAAAACTTTCTTCTTTTTTCTTTTGCGGAACCCAGAATTGAACTCGAGCCCTTGTGCTTGCCAGGGAAGTGCTTGCTGAGCCATCTCCCCAGCCCCAAAACTTTTTTCTTTAACACAGGATACTTTGATCATCTTACCCTCCAGACCTCCTTTGTCCTGTCTTTCCCCACCCAAGTTTCTCTTTCAGAGAGGACTTCAGTGTGTATAATTTATTTTGCTTGTATCCATCCCCACCATTTTTAATAAGACATAGAAAAGGAGAGTTGAAACAAATGCATCACAATTTGTTTTGAGTTAGCATTGTAGCCTTACAGAGAAAAATTATTCCACATAACTTTAAACATCGTAATTTGATTCTAATGACGGAATTACAAAGAAACAATTGTGAAATTTAGATAATCATAGCTTAATATTTGTAATATTTTTCTGGAAATACTGGACTTATTCTTTAATTTTTTGTGCTTTACATTCCTCTATCATAGTGGCACATGCCTATTGTTGCAGCATTTGGAGAGCTGAGGCAGGAGGATTGCCACAAGTTTGAAGTCAGCCTGGGCTTCACAGTAACTTCAGTGCCAGCCTGACCTATATAGTGAGACTGTCTCAGAAAAACAAATCTTTTCACAATCTATTAAAAAGACCTAGATTATGAGGTTTCTATACTGTGTTCTAATAAAATGGCTTTTTGGAGCAATGGATGATTCCTGGGTCAGGGAAAGAATATATGTAACGTTACATCTACATAAGATCATCTTGTCATACCAGAAAGAAAAAAAGTAATCAAAAAATGATTTGTTAGTTAAGAGGACACAGGAGCCTACATGAAAACTCTTCTGCTGGCTATAGATGAAGGGATAGTAGATATAAACACATCAAAAATGTCTAAATATATAAATTTATTATGATAAAAATAATGGTCATTTTGGAAGGTATTTAAGATTTCAGCTCATTTTGAAAAAAGATAAAGATTTTAGCATTTTGTTTGTACTGTCACTGAAGGTAAAGGGTGTGATCTTTACTAAA